GCTCCACGAACCAAGAAGTTGATTGGTACCAAAAAGACTCTGGTCTTCTACAGTGGCCGGGTTTCAAATGGAATCAGGACCAATTGGGTCATACACGAGTATCATCTTCATTCCGATCCCCAGTTCGCGCAGCTGGTGATTTCCCTCATTCTTTGTCCCCTATTCATTTTTTCTTCGCGTCTCTCTACTCTAATTTCCTTTCTTTTGTGCTTCTGCTTATGTCCTCTCATGCTGCTCTCATGTGATTTTGAACGTTGAATCTTGATATGTACTAAAAGCTTGACTTTGATTAGGAAATATGAATTTAACCGTTGGGTTGAGGATGGTTGGGAGAGGAGTCCCTTGTCGACTAATTAAGGGGTTGATCATTGGTTTATAAGTAAGGAATATATTTCATAGGTATGAGGCCTTTTGGGAGAACCAAAGCAAAGACATGAGAGCTTAGGCTCAAATTGGACATTATCATACCATTGTGGAGGTTTATGGTTCCTAACATGGTATCAGAGTCATGCCCTTAACTTAGCCTTCTCAAATATCGAACAAAGAATTGTGAGCCTCGAAGGTGTAGTCAAAAGTGACTAAAGTGTCGAACAAATGGTGTACTTTGTTCGAGGGCTCCAAAGGAGTCGAGCCTCAATTAAGAGGAGGTTGTTCGAAGGCTCCATAGACCTCGGGGAGGCTCTATAGTGTACTTTGTTTGAGGGGAGGATTGTTAAGGATTGTTGGGAGAGGAGTCCCACCACGGCTAATTAAGGGGTTGATCATAGTTTATAAGTAAGGAATACATACCAAATTGGTTTGAGGCCTTTTGGAAAAATCAAAAGTAAAGCCATGAGAGCTTATGCTCAAAGTGGACAATATCATAGTATTGTGGAGATTCGTGATTCCTAACGATTTGCATTGGAGTATATGTTGGTCTAGTTTCTTGATGATGCTTAGTTTAACTGTCCCCCTGTCCTCTTTTTCATGCAGAGGCCGTTTGTTATTTGTCTCCTAAAGAAAAAGCTGGATGAGAATGATGTTTTGATATGTGATGAAGCTGAACAAAATGGTCTTATGAATTTGACGTTCGATAATGAAGTCTCAGTGAACCAAAATAAAGAGGTTAGAATTTAGAAAGATCAATCCCTGGACGTTGCCTAGTGCCTACTGCAGCATGATTTGTTTTAATAATCTTAGCATTCATATGTTCAGATTCCAGGAAATGGACAATCATTGTTTCCACCGAATCTCCAGGTTTCGGGTTACGATTTTTCTCAATTGGAGTCCCTTTTGTTTTGTGACCGGGAACCCATTTCAATGGATTTCCAAGCTAACAACAGCTACGGGACTCCCGTCGATAGACCTACTGATGAGGAAATCGATATTGAGGAGATTTATCTCCATGAAGGGACACCAAATAGTTCAACCAGTGGTTTCAACTGGAAGGAATTGCTCGAAAAGGTTGATCTAGACCAGGGTGGTGCACTCAAAGGTGACACTGGCATGTATGCAACTTTAAATCTGCAGGTAAAAAATGTTATAAATCTTTAAGTTTACACAAATGTCTTGGTGGAAATCCTTGACTGAAGAAATTGATTCGAGCTTTCTTAAACCATGTTTTTTCACTGTGATTCCACTTCTGATTTATGTCATGTTAGAAATTGTGAGAACGAAATATTCTTTATAAGAGTGTAAAAACTTCTTCCTAATAGACACGTTTTAAAAATGTTGAGGTATACCCAAAAGGAAAAGTCCAAAAAGTAGAATGTTGTCCAAAGAGTAGAGTGTTTGCTAGCGGTGCATTCGATTATTATTAGAGCTAAATAGTCTGTATTTCATTGTGCATTGCAGGGTAATTCTACTTCTCACAGCATGTTCGATGAACATAGTTCAAGGGTACCAACTCAAACTACGCCGATCATTAAAGAATCGCGTAGAAGCCCACTTACTTCAAAGATTTTCAAGTATGGAGGGGAAGAAGATCTTTCCTCTGTCCGGCCTCGTGGAGATGAACTTCAAACCAATGGCATTTCATACCTCAGTGATGACTCTGATAGGGAAACAATAACTTTAAGATTTCAAAGCCAACCCAGATCCGATAAGGTTGTAAACCACGCAAAGGATTCACAAAATGTCCAATGGAAGAGGAAAACTCAACTCCAAGTAGTATCATCCCCCGACAAGGTGAGAGAACAGAACAAAAATACTCAAAAATGTTCTTCTCATGAAACCAATTTGAATGACTTCAATTTTGCATGTCTTACATGAAACATCGTTTAATTTGCAGGCAAAAGCAGTTTCAAAGTGGAAGAAAGTTGATGGAGCAGCTGCAACTTCAAATAAAGACATTGTTGTAGACCGAGAAACTGAAGTTAAGAGTCGTGTAGCCCACCAGTCCAATTCAACTGGACGTGGGTCTGTTGAGAGTCGAGGAAAGCGTTGTTCTAGTATCCTGACTACAAAATGCATTCACCACAGATCAAGCTCCGCATCCGCCTATGTTGCCAGAGTATGTATAGGCCTTATTTTGTTCTTCGTAGTTGCAAGAGATATGCTGCTGGATGGAAATTGGTGATAAAATTTAGTACCCATATGGATATGATACAGGTAATTATGATACTCATAATAGCATGTTACTATGCATTACTGTAATTAAGGAAGGTGTTTAACTAAGTTGATAATAAGTTATTTCTTCTCGCGTGTTAGCTGTGTAAGCAAGTTAATAAGTTAAGCTGGTTGTGTTAAAGCTATCATTTTCTGTATAAATACGCTCATGGAGGAATGATTAATAATAATTTACGTTTTGTAAAAGGTCGAGTATGGATAATATCTAGTAAGAAACTCTCATATTCGGGTTAGATATACATACACATAGAATTAGCAAGTAAAATTTAAGGGACCGATTTTTTTTTTTAAAATAATGACCTGCCTTGGATCAGAATTGTCTAGCTCGATGTGAACCAACATGTAAAGACATTAACCATCTAAAAAAACCTTGAATCATCCATAACGCCCCAAAACATTACATAACCATGTATGAGGAAGGTCCCTTACTCTCTCAATCCAAAACTTGTTTAATTCAGCGTAATTCTTTGTCAACCAAAAACAACCAAGTATATGGTCAAGAACCTAACTCAAATTTATCTGCTTAATTTGTAATGGGCCCACAAGACATTTATAAGACTTACTAACTCAATCTTCTCCAACTCAGTTCTTAATTCATGTTCAATAAGTCTGAAATTAGCCCCTGCTTGTTCATACGAAAGGTGCGAAAAGGCTCGAGTCCTTATTAATTTGTGCTTGTAATCGTTTGAACTTGCAAATTTGATTATGATGAGTTATGAGTAATCCAACAATAACAACTTTGAGTATAATTACTTTAATGTAAGATTTCAGTCTAACCACATAGATTGTTCTTGTAGAGACGGTTAGACTATGATGTTTACTTGTAGGTTATTCAACCGCTATACATGATAAATGACTATATGTTGTTTTAATAGAGATTGTTAAGCTATAAAATTTGGTGTTTACTTATAGGTTTCTCAATGCTATACATGATAAATGACTATATATTATTTTAATAGAGACCATTAGACTATGGAACCTAATGTTTGCTAGTAGGTTACTCAGCGAATGTAATGGTCTTAAATAGTCATATATTGTGGTTTAACTTGAAAAGGGGATCAATTTACCTAAAGCGAACCTAATAGTACATTTAATTGAGTTATTTAATATAATTTTAGAATATTTGTGCTGAATCATGATGCTATAGCAAATTTTTTAGGGATGACAGAGAAATTATAATCCAAATCAGCAGGCACATGGATAGCTGAATACTCAATGAGAGAGGCATCAAAGACGAAAAGAACGAAAAATACAACAGCAGGGGGTTCTATTCCGGTAAAAAACAGAGAAAACGAGGAATAAGAACCCTATTCAGCCGTTGTTGACAATAGAATGAAAAAGAAGACTAAGAAATATAAATTAAGGCAAAGAGGTGATAAACTAAGTCAAATAGCTACACGAGAGCACAAAGGAGGAGAACTTACTCAGAATAAAGATTGAATTGCATACGCTCAATTTGTGAAATATTTATCTTCTAATTAATAGATTTATTATGAGATACAAAACATTTCATAATTTTGTTTTATACAAAATTACTATATACGATACTCCACTCATATGTCTCTACGAGACATATTTTGATAAAATTATTTATAATTAAAAAAAAAAAAATTAAATATTAGAATAAGAATTTGTATTTAAATTTTGAATAAAAACATTGGTTAAATATACACTGATAATTTATTTAAATAAGATTTAAGTAAAAAATTATTTTTGATATATAATGATACATAATTTTGTTTAAATATATACTGATATAATTTATTTAAATATATACTGATACATAATTTTGTTTTATACAAAATTATTTTTGAATATTGAATTTGTAAGTGGATTAGGTTTAAAATTAGTTTGCAATTTATTTCCAAGAAAAAAACAATAACCATTATTTGGATCGCCAAAAAAGCTACAATTAAAATAATAATACAATCATTTCATGATTCAAGTGGTGGACTCTAAGTCGTTGGATAAAATAATAATACAATCATTTCATGATTCAAGTGGTGGACTCTAAGTCGTTGGCGTCTTGTGCAGACACTCGTTAACTATTCCTTGTTTTGTATTTTTGCTGAGACGAACAATAATTGTAGGCTGCTTATCCGCTTCAATCACATATGAATACATGTCGCCTCTTATTTTTAATCTCTCTGTTCCATTTTTAAAAGTTTTCTTTTTAATCTCTCTGTTCCATTTTTAAAAGTTTTCTTTTTAATTTAGGGTCAGAGACTTGAGCATATGTTATCTAGATCGATGCGATCTAAAGCAAGAAAAAGGCTATTGTGACTCTCCAGCAACTCAAATTATGTCACTCCCCCCAGTCAACGCAAGTCGTCCTTGCTCGTGGTCGGTTGTTATAGTTATAAACATCCACCACCACCAACACCATAGACGCACTTGCTACCAAATTCATGGCCGCTACTGCTGAATTTCCGTTTGCTTCCCCATTCCCGATTGGTTTTGGTTTCCGTCCCACGGAGGAGGAGCTCATCACCTACTACCTGAAGAACAAAAATGTTGGCAACGAGTCTGTTGTTCGTTTTATCAAGGAGATTGATCTGTACAAGTTCGAGCCCGACCAACTCCCAGGTATGCATTTATCAAATTCCTGATTTTAGCTTTTGAAGATGAAGCACACCTCTGATTCTTTCCTTCCCCTGTCCCTGTGCAGACAAATCGTTTTTCCCGTCTGATAATTTTGAGTGGTTTTTCTTCCGGGCCAACACCTCCGACACTAAAAGAACCACCACTACTGGCTACTGGAAATCCACCGGTAAACCCCGCCCAATCAAGGCTCGAGGAACCAATGAAGTGATCGCAAGTAGACAAATTTTTGTGTTCCATCGAGGCAAGGGAGGCAATGCTATAAAGACCAATTGGGTGATACACGAGTATAAGCCTCACCCAGACACTAAAATCCCTTCCCAGGTCTCATTTCCCACGCTTCTTTTATTCCCTATATGATGAGTATGTGTGAGTTTCATATATTTTTCACAATTGACCTTTTTGTTATGACATTGTGCTTCCTCTGTTCTGCTGCCCATGTAGCACCCATTCCTCGTTTTTCGATTGAAGGAAAATGCAGAAGATGGGCAGAGCAGTACCGTTGCTTCTCACCGGACTAAGAAAGTCACACAGGGAGGAGAAATCCGGGAGGTAAGAGTGTCGGATATGAACATTTTGAATATCAACTTGTATGCAGAGCTTGAGAGAGGCCTTCTTAATTCTAGTTTGTTTATAATTTTTTTTTAACACAGATGAACAGAGACGAACAATTATCGGAGTGTGAGCCCCTAGGGAGTTGTACCCAACAACCTATCAATGCCTATGATGATGGAGTTGAAGTCAATACACAGCAGCAGATACAGCCTGGAGCTGGAGCTTCTGAAGATGAAAATTTCACTCAGAATTTGAAGTGGATATTCGATCCGGAAGGAAGCTTAGATGACGATGCGACCTCAACGATATGCAGGTCCCCATTGCGATCCGAACCAGAACCAGAACCAGTTTTAACGGATTTTCAACCTTCGAATGGCAATCGTGGTGAAGTAAATAAGCGATTATCTGAGAGTGAATTTGATGAGTATAAGCAGGGGATGAACTCGGAGGTGAAGGATAAAAACTTGGATGAGATGACACCAAACAACCACTTTAACCGACGCTACATTAAAAGAAGGCATGTGATGACTGATAAACTTCAAAGTGGATATATCGTACTTCAAAGTGGACGCGACCCTGATACCAATAATACATACCGACTGGTCGATGTTGCTGTAGCCTTGCTAGCCATCGTAGTGGCCGTAATGTTTGCCAAGATGTGGTGCTAAACCGACACAGGCGCTGATGAGGTCAACGCAACGTCAAGATCCAAGAACGATTTGTGAGGTAAGGTTCTGAATGACATTCTTAGATCTGAGATTTTCCTATGTGAATCGAGTCCTAAAATGTTGACTTATTCACCTAGGAACAACTCTACACCCGATCAGCGAAGAAGTTTGGCCAAAATCTCAACCCGAAGGCAGAGATTTGAGAATCGTTCGAGAATAGTAAGCAAAATTCCGACGCTCTTAACTCGTCCAGTAATTAAGAAAAAATTACAAAAAAAAATATCAGGACGTAGCCCGTAACACGATCTAGAACCTTGCCAAAGAAATCATATCAATCTGAACTACGAATCAAAAGATATGAAAATCGGAAATGGGACTTTGTGTTACGGATTGCAGAGGACAGATAGAGAAAAAAAAATCGGCCGGCGAGCGGCGGAGGGCGACGCAACATGCGTCGGACACGCATCGACTGTCGGCTGGAGCAACACAGCTCCAGTGAGATGACGACACATGTCACCTGCAAAGCCCGAGCTAAACCGCAAACCTGAGCAGAGCCAAGCCGAACAGGACCAGCCGACCCGTGACTGCGCAGAAGCTGCCACGCGTGCGGCCTGCGACTAGCGCACTTTCGCACGCGTGGTCGGTGTCACGATCATGTTCGTCCAAGGCGTGTTGCCCATGGTCGCATGCCCATGACAAGTCCAACCCTTTATGTCTTTTCATATTCTAGTCTTTTACTTTTGTATTTATAGGAAGTATGATGTTCCAGAAATATCATGTCTAGTCGCGTCAGACATGAAATGCCTCAAAATGTATTATAGGAGGATTCAACTAGTTGTCAACTTCTCCCTAACCAAGGTTATATACTGTGAATCGTTGTTATTTCTCTCTTGCTTGCTTATATAACGTCTCTTTCAAAAATCTCTCTCTACCCTTGTTTTCTAAAACCTTCTCTTAAAACCGAGGCCAGAGGCTCGAACATACGTAGCTTGGCCGTAGGCGACGTAAGAACGAATTGGCTTAGCTCACTTGTCATTGGAAAGTGAGTGCCGCACAAAAGTGCGATTGTGACAGTCGGCGCACTGCCAGCGCTTGAGCGCGCGTGAAACGGCCTTTGGCCTGTTTGCCCGATTGTTGTCCTGATTCCAATTCTAGTACTGTTTTAATGTGAATAGGGACCTAATTTAAGAAAATCAGTATTTTTGGATACTTCACGGGCATAGAAACTCTAACAAAAATGCACATGTCAACCAGGTAAGTTACCACCCGGTATTTAGGAAGAAATACTTGTAGGATTAGCTTGGATGCATGCATGCTAGTACCTTTACCTTAGATTAGCTATCCATGAATGAGATTAGTCAGATGGATTGTTATGAGTGTATTTGGGTGAATTATCTGAGTGTTGCTTGTATGCTTTAAGCTTCCGCCGTATGTATGCATGTGTTTAATTTATGTTGGAATTGTGTATTCTGCGTTCCGGGTGCTTGATGGATGAGTTCGTCCCATTGAGCGCGAGCTTCGTGTTCTGGGTGCTTGATGGAGGCCAATCGCGGATAATTCGACTTGACCAAGAAAAATTGACAAAGAAATTGTTGGGAAAAGAAAAAACAGAAAAGTTGAATAAAATAACAGAAATAAAAGAGTATGGAAGATTTGGGATTTGATTTGGTGAAAAAACACGGTGATTTGTTTCTTGACATATTTAAATAACATTTGTAGGCTAAAGATGACTCAATGGCCAGCTAAAAATATGTCATCAATTAGTTTTGAGTTGAAAAAATTTGGCCAAGAGTAAAAACGTGAAAAAACTAAATAAAATAAACTGCAGGCTTTTATCTAACCGTCTCTTCCTAAAACATGTGGTATATCTACTTACTATTTGAACTTCGATTTCATATAAAATAGAGTTAGGATTGGATTCGGGAGGAAATTAGGGAAAACAAGAGTCGAACGGGACGAAAGAGGGCTTACATGCGCTTCCACGTGCCGGGACAAAATCACTCACAGGTTCCACGCGCGGTGTCACGCACCCACATTTTTCCTACTTTCGCGGGTCGTCGATTCGGTTCGGGTGCAGTGGTTCGAGTGGACCACGGGTCGCGACGGTTTGTTTTGCCGCACGGGTACTGGGTCAGCCGAGGGACGCGGGTCGGGTTGCGTGGCCGGGGAAGTGTGTCACTGGAAGGCTGGAGCCACGTCTTTCTAGGCGGCGTTCGACGCGTGTCCGGAGGTTGTTGGCGCACGCAGTCCTCTTGCTGGTTGACATTTGGCGCGCCGTCGACTTCTCTCTCCTCCTAGCAGAAAAACAAGGTTTCCGATTAGTTTTCCGACGTTCTTTTCATTTTTCTATCTCTTGATTCTTAATCCAAACTGTAATGACTTCTTCAACAAAGTTTAGATCATCCTACAACCTACGTGACAATATTTTTTTCTTGATTTTTACTTAATCATACGACAAGTTATGAGCGTTGAAAAGAGGTCCGATAACATCCTTACCGTTCTTGGAAAGATTCTCAGATTTCGACTTCTCCACCAAATCAGTGGCGGATCTTCCGTAGATGAAGATAGTAAACTTCACCAAATCAGTGGAGGGTCCTCAAGACCCCTATAATGGGCTGAGGGTAAAATGTCCATTTTGCCCCTTTGACTTTGACCGACCTTTTTTTTTGAAGCCTTACACCATTCCACTTTAGTAGGGCTTATTAGCTCTGTGTTTGTTGTTGGACTTTTATCCTTGGCACTTAATTGTTTCATAACTAGTATCTAATCCAAAAAGTAAAGAGTTGGATTGAGAAAATTGTTGGGTTGGTTAAAAACAATTCGGTGAACAGCAACCCATAATAGGAACATCCCTACCACCAAATAGGCTAAGTATGTTTTGACCCAATGTGGACTGCAGCGCAAAGCTCCAACTATTACGGCTGAAATGCAATACTACAATATGCTTTGTATTTTTGAAGAGACGATTGTAGGCCGCTCACCCGCTTCAATCACATGTGAACAGACGGCTGCTTTTTTATTCCAGTCGGCCACTTCAAGCCCCACTCCTTTCCACTCCACTCCACTATCTTCACCTACCCAACAAAAATTACGTCACTCCGCCCCAGTCAACGCAAGTCATCCCCTGCTCCTGCTCCGTCGTTATAAACATCCTCCACCACCAAGGATTCCACCACTCCCTCACTTCCTTGCTCCTCCTCCTCCGTTCTTCGACGCCCTTCCTACCAAATTCATGGCCGCTATCGATGATTTTCCGTTTCTTTCTTCGTTGCCGGTTGGTTATGGTTTCCGTCCCACGGAGGAGGAGCTCATTACCCACTACCTGAAGAACAAGATTCTTGGGCAGGAGTTTCTGGTTAAATTTATCAAGGAGATTGATCTGTACAAGTTCGATCCCGAGCAACTCCCAGGTATTCATTTATCAATTTCCCCCCACCCTGATTTTAGCTTTTGAAGATGGAGCACACCTCTGATTCTTTCCTTTCCCCTGTCCCTAAGCAGACAAATCGTATTTCCCTTCTTCAAATTTTGAGTGGTTTTTCTTCCGGGCCAACACCGGCATCAATAAAAGAACCACGGCTACTGGCAGCTGGAGATCCACCGGTGATCCCCGCCGAATCAAGGCTCGAGAAACCAACGATGTGATCGCAACTTGTCACATTTATGTGTTCCATCGAGGCAAGGGAGGCAATGCTATAAAGACCAATTGGGTGATACACGAGTATAAGCTTCACACACTTACAGACATCACTTCCCAGGTCTCGTTTCTGTTTATATCCATTTCTCATGTATCACTAACTTCTTTTGGCTTCTGGGTTTTTGATCTCGCCTTCCATATGTACTTGCTGATCTATAGTTAGTCTACATCCCACACATACATCAATTTTTTGTTTTATTCCCAATATGATGAGTATGTGTGCGTTTCATATATTTTTCAGAATTGACCTTTTGGTTATTACATTGTGCTTCCTGTGTCTGCTGCCCATGTAGCACAGCCATTCATCATTTTTCGATTGAAGAAAAATGCAGAAGAGAGAGATGTTTCAATACGTGACCAAGAAGATGGACAGAACAGTACCGTTGCTTCTCACCGGACTAAGAAAGTCAAACGGGGAGGAGAAATCAGGGAGGTAAGAGTGTCCGATATGAACATTCTGAAGAGACCTTCCTAATTCTAGCTTGTTTATAATTTTTTTTAACACAGATAAACAGAGACGAACAATCGATCTGTAAGCCCCTAGGGAGTTGTGCCCAACAACCTGTCAATGCCTATGATGATAATGAAGTAAATATGCAACCAATACAGCTTGGAGATGGAGATTCTGCAGATGGAAATATGACAGAGCTTCTTAACTCGACAGTAATTTGGGATGATATCTTCAATCATAAATTGACCGCAAATATGTGCAGGTCCCTACGACGTTCCGAACCACAACCAGGTTTAATGGATACCCAACAACCTGAGAGTCAACTTGATTACTTGAGGAATTTCGTCCACGATGATAAAAACTGGGACGAAATGACATCAAACAATCAAGAATGGGAAGGCATGTATAGTAGCGAGACTAATTCCAATACGGCCTTCGGCTTGCCGGTAAGAAGAATTAACTTGAATTGTTTACTTGTAAATTCCAGTCCAGATACTTGTGTATCTCATTCATTACTTTATCTGCATAATTCATGTATTGCAGTATAATCACACTATGAAAAGGTTGGAAAGAACCCCCCTTCCTCCAAGGCGTTTGCGGATCAGTGATGTAAAACATATAGAAATTGGCAATTCACCGCAGCTATCAGGGACAGATTCTAATAATGAGCTGAAAAGTGAAGCGGGCAACAAAGCAACCAAGTGGGCAACCGCTCAACATTGCTTTTCTTCAAAAAATCGGTTCTCCTATATCCTAACTACCAAACGCATTCACCACAACTCCACTCTCCCCCCACTGGTCTATGTTGCTAAAGCATTGCTAGGCGTCGTGATGCTTCTAATGTTTGCCCAAGATGTGCTGCTATACCGATACAGGCGCTGAAGAACAATCTTGTGGTTAGCTTTTTCATATCATGTATCTCTCTTCTGTCTAACACAAGGCAGCCTTGTATAACAATAATGGTAATAATGGGAGTTGGCCATTATGCGGGTGCCCATCTTTAAACTTCATTTCTCAAGAAGCTTTGTGGCCAAAAACTTGGGGCCATGACCACAAAAACAAGTACCAATGCATCTGAGCTCACTCTGTGATCAATTCTGAATTTGGTGGAATCCCTAATCTAAACAGTAACCGTCCAAGAAGTCAGAGTGATGTGATGACAAATTATAGGGTTCTTTTTATTAATAATGAAACTGAGAAAGAAAGGTAGGACATCCATATGTTTGTGGCGAGGCGAGAATCTAGATTGTGTCACTCACTGGTAGCTTCTTAATCTCAATCTAGGTCTTGAATTGACTATTGGATATTTTCAATCATTCTCCAAAATCGAAAACTGTGGTTGGCAAATTGTTCTCGATCATCCCATATCAAGACTATGTTATAAGCATCTTCAAATTTCTCACCAAATCTCAAAGGTGACATGCTCAAGATGTTGGTATTTTCTTTCGCAACATTTTTTTTTTGCAGGATTCAGTGATAGAATGATTAGATGATGAACAAGTTCGGAAACTAAAAGATCTCTCCATTATCACTAACAACAATCTTTTGCACATGGCCCCTCATTAGAAGAACCTATCAACCTGTTTTCCCTTCCAATTGCTTCTAATGACAGTAAACAAGATCTGCTACAACTAATGAGATATCCTTGTTCAGGTTATCTCTCAAGCCTCTTTAAATGAATCAAGAACTGAGAGTAGCCATGCGCATAAGCTTTAAATCAAGAACTCAATGCTTTCCATTTTGTGTAAAAAAAATTCTAAGCCAAGACCCTCCCAAATACAAGAACAAACCTATTAGATTTTGGGTATTTTTCTTTCGATTTTGGCCAAATAAGAGAGTTGCACTCAACCATTTTAGCTTAAACCAATTAATACACTGTTCATAATCAAGCTTACAACAACTTTCTAGAAGACTTGGAGGACTGAAAACAACTATATCCTAT